AGGTGGGCGATGCGGGTGGAGAGTGAGGGGGTGAGGTGGGGGGTGGAGAGGTAGATTTGTGTGTCGTCGGCGTAGAGGTGGTAGTTGAAACCGTGAGAGTGTATTAGTTTGCCAAGGTAGGAGGTGTAGATGGAGAAGAGGAGGGGTCCGAAGACAGAGCCCTGGGGGACTCCAACAGAGAGAGGGGAGAGAGGGGGAGGTGGCATTGTTATAGGTGACGCTGAAGGAGTGTTGGGAAAGGTAGGAGGAGATCCAGGAGAGAGCAGCGTCCCTGATGCCAAGGGAGTGCAGTTTAGCAAGGAGGAGAGGGTGGTCAACGGTGTCGAAGGCCGCGGAGAGGTCAAGGAGCAGGAGGACAGAATAGTGGCCATTAGCTTTGGCAGTTAGCAGGTCGTTGGTGATTTTAAGTAAGGAAGTTTCGGTGGAGTGTAGGGGACGGAAGCCAAACTGTAGGGGGTCAAGGAGATTGTTGTCAGTGAGGTGGGGCGCTTAGGCGATTGTAGGCCAGGTGCTCAAGGAGCTTAGAAGTGAAGGGCAGCAGGGAGATGGGTCTAAGGTTGTTAAGGTCAGTGGGGTCGAGGGAGGGTTTTTTTTGAGTATGGGGGTGATGTGTGCGTGTTTTAGAGGGGAGGGGAAAGTGCCAATAGAGAGGGAGAGATTGAAGATGTGGGTGAGGGAGCGTATGATTGAGGGGGGTGGTGACTGGAGGAGCTGGGAGGGGATAGGGTCCAGGGGGCAGGTGGTGAGGCTTCAGCGAAGACCTTAGAGACCTCCTCAGGGGTGGGTGGGCTGAAGGAGCGGAGTGTTGGGGAGGGGATGGTGTGGGGGCATTGGGTATGGGGGGGGGTAGTGCGGCTATGAGGTCAGGGGAGGGGAGGGTTGCGGGGTTGGAGGAGGGCGGGAGGCTGGGTGGAGAGGTAGATTGTGAGTTGAATATGTCCTTACAGATTGCGTCAATCTTGTTAAGGAAATGACTGGCAATCTCGTGGGCGGTGAGTGAGGTACTGAGTGGAGGTGGGGGGGGGGAGAGCAGGGATTTGAAGGTGGAGAAGAGCCGGCGAGGGCAGGTGGAGAGGGTGTTGATAAGGGTAACGAAATAGGCTTGCTTGGCAGCGTGGAGGGAGGTGGTGTAGGTGAGGTAGGCGGCTTTGTAGAGGGAGAGAACGCGTGAGGGGATCTGGATTGCGCCATAAGCGCTCCAGCGCGCGACTGCGTCGTTTGAGATTTTTCGTACAGTCGTTTTGCCAGGGTTGAAGCGGTCGGGTCTGGTGCTGTGCGTGGTCAGTGGTGCCAGGGAGTCAAGGGCAGCAGTCAGTGAGCCGTTGTACGCGGGGTAGTGGCTAGGTCGGGGCAGGATAGAGGGAGGATACTGTCGTACAGACGGTTGGCTGCCGGGTGGAGATGGGTTGGGTTCAGATTGTGGAGGTTAGACGCTTTCGGGAGGGGGGGGGAGTTAAGGGAGGGGGAGGGGGAGAAAGTGAGGTGGAGGTCAGAGAGGGGAAAGGGGGTGTTAGTGAAGTCGTGGGGGGAGCAGAGGTGGGAGAAAACAAGGTCCAGGGTGTTTCCATTGGTGTGGGCGGAGGACTCAGTGTGCTGTGTGAGCGCAAAGGAGGAAGTCAGGAGGAGGAGTTGGGATGTAGCCGGGCTATTGGCGTTGATGGGAATATTGAAGTCACCTAGGATGATTGTCGGTAGTTCGGAGGAGAGGAAGAAGGGAAGCCAGGCGGCAAAGTCGTCTAGGAAGGGGGAAGCGGATCCAGGAGACCGATAGATTACCGCAATCCTTAGGGGGGTGGGAGAGAAGAGCAGGATGCAATGGGCCTCGAATGAGGCGAAGGATAGAGAGGGGGAATGGGGAGGACCTGGAAGGTGCTCTGCGGCGGCAGGAGCATACCGACTCCACCGCCTCTGTGGCCGCTCGGTCTGGGTGAGTGGGTCCAGACGAGGCCTCCGGAGGAGAGTGCTGCAGGGGAGGTGGAGTCAGTGGTTTGGATCCAGGTTTCGGTGACTGCTAGGAGGTTGAGGAAGTGGGAGACAAAGAGGTCGTGGATGGCAGTGAGTTTGTTGCAAACCGAGCGGGCATTGAGGAGTGCAACCGAGAGAGGGGGGATGGGAGCGGGGAGGAGGGAGACAGATAAGAGGTTGAGGGGGTTTCAGTGGCTGGTGGGGGTACAGGGGTGCTGGGAGGTGGAGTGGGGGGATGGGGGGCCAGGATTTGGGGAGATGTGTCCGGCGGTTAGGAGAAGGAGGAGGGTGAGGAAGGTGGCATGGGAGCGGGAAGTGCAGGAGCGTGTGGGTCTGTGAGTGGTGGCGAGGGGGTCAGCAGGGGAGTGGAGTATTAGGAGGAGGTGGTGAGAGCCGTAGAGGGGGGAAGGAAGAAGTGAGGGTGCGATGAAGAGCTGTTTTGGGGGAGTAGGGGGGTAGATGGAGGCAAGTTTGGAAATGGAGGAGAGGAGAACGAGGAGGAGAGCAGGTGGCATGCTAGGGTGAGCAGAGTGCTGTTCAGGGCGGAGAGGAGGGAGGTATCAGTCCAGGCGTGAGGATGGGGAGAGCTCGTTATGCCATGTCAGAGTTCATCAGTTCATTAGTGTCCAATAGCAGGAGGGGGTGGGAGTGGTGGGCGGCTGGGGCCGCAGCTGGGTGATAGCAGCAGTCTGTGGGTTCTGAAGGCTGGCGTCCGCGGGTGTTGTGGCTCGGCGTCGGTGGGCACGGTGGTGCGACGGCTGGATGAGCCGTGGGTCGCGATGATTGGAGGTGTTGCAGGCTCGGCATCAGGGGTGTTGGAGGCCCAGCGTCGGGAGGCGTAAAGGGCACTGCTACGGGAAGCAATGGGCCTGGCGTCAGGAGGTGCAGAGTGCCCAGCATCGGGAGGTGCAGAGGGCTCGGCGTAAGAAGGTGCAGAGAGGCTTGGCGTCAGAAGGTGCAGAAGGCTCGGCGTCAGGAGGTGCAGAGGGCTCGGCATCAGGAGGTGCAGAGGGCTCGGTGTCAGGAGGTGCAGAGGGCCAAGCTTCAGGAGGTGGTGTAGGCCGGTGTCTGAAGATGGTGTGGGCCGATGACCGGGATGGGCTGGGCATCGGTGTGCTCCTCCGTCGGATGGAACAGGGTGTGCGGTGGCAGGGCGCGGTTGAGTGGAGCACGATGGGGGGCAGATGTGGCAGCGGCGGCTCACCCAGTCGGGCCGATGGCAGCCTACTCTCTTTGTGCTAGTGGGGGTGGTTGTTGCGGCGGCTCACCCAGTCGGGCCGATGGCGGCCTACTCTCTTTGTGCTAATGGGGGTGGTTGTTGCGCCGTTCAATCTGCGGGGCATCGTGGTAGCGATCGTCGGCCCTACGTGGTTTGCGCTCCTCCGTGATCTGTCGGTACTGGCATCTGTGTCGGTATGGGGCACTCACCCCTTCCTGCACTGACAGGTCTAATTGCCAGCTACTCTGAGATTATTCACCCCTTCGTACCTGTCAGTGCAGGATGGCCCAGAGTTGCCTTCAATAGAAGATGTATTGTTTAAAGGCGATGGACGTTCTGGATCTCTCACTGGTCACTTGTAAGGGTAGCTGTGAGAGGTTGGCTACATACACTTGGCTGCAGGGCTTCGGTTCACACAGGCTAGTTTGTGATATGATTTCACTCATTGCTATAGTGAAAAAAAAAAGATTTTATCATTCTGTTTGCTTTTGGCAGTGATGGGTGACTTCTGTGCCAACGCACACCCCTCTTCTTCATCGCCCCCCCCCCCCCATACCTAAAAAGCCAGGTTGTGGTAAAAGTATTTTTATACATTACACAATTTATTTTATTGGGTTTTTTTTTTTTTTTTTTGTTTTTAGCTTCTGTTGATTGTTTTCATTTCTGGCAGATCTGAGTGTTATGCTGCTCTCCCCGCTGAGAGCTGTGGCACTCAGTATTTGAGAGGGTGTGTGTCATCTCCCTGGGACCTGCCTCTTCATGATCATATAAATGCTGGTGGGTAGCCCATTTTTAGACAGGCTGAAGAAGAAGCAAGCTTGCTTTGAATCGCATTCCTGTTCTAACTCCAGCATTCTCCAGCAACATAAGGTGGCGTCATATCGTGGGCCCTGTGTTCCATCCATGGCTTTGGCTCTGCAGCGACAGCGTTTCCTTGCTTCCATTCCATCTGCGCTGCCTTGCTGATGGCTAAGGCAAAGCATCCTGGCTGCATGTGGAATCTCTGTCCCAGAGGCTACCCAAATGTCATGATGAGCTCCTTTTTAAACTTTTGGAGTGCTTTTTTACACTTTCTATTAAGATCACACTTTGCATTTCACACTATGGTTGTTGCACTTCTCTCCCCCTCCCCCTCTTTTTGTCTCCTACAGCCACACAACACACCCATGCTAGAACGAAGCAGCACTTCCAGCAGTGTGTTGTGTAGTACTATGGGCTACCCACATTATATAGCTTACATAAGCTTTATCTGGCAATTTGTTTCATATGGTATCATACGGCTTTATATTGTCTCACACTGTGAACTTACATCTAGCTCATCAGGGCACCAATTTCTAACTGGCGCATCTATGTGTGCGTGTATGTATATATATATATATATATATATATATATATATATATATATATATATATATACACACACACATATATATACATACAGATACAATATCACACAGAAGTGAGTCCACCCCTCACATTTTTGTAAATATTCTATTATATCTTTTCATGTGACAACACTGAAGAAATAACACTTTGCTACAATGTAAAGTAGTGAGTGTACAGCTTGTATAACAGTGTAAATTTTCTGTCCCCTCAAAAGAACTCAACACACAGCCATTAATGTCTAAACAGCTGGCAACAAAAGTGAGTACACCCCTAAGTGAAAATGTCCAAATTGGGCCCAATTAGCCATTTTCCCTCCCCGAGGTCATGTGACTCGTTAGTGTTACAAGGTCTCAGGTGTGAATGGGGAGCAGGTGTGTTAAATTTGGTGCTAACGCTCTCACTATCTCATACTGGTCACTGGAAGTTCAACATGGCACCTCATGGCAAAGAACTCTCTGAGGATCTGAAAAAAAGAATTGTTGCTCTATATAAAGATGGCCTAGACTATTGCTAAGAAGATTGCTAAGACCCTGAAACTGAGCTGCAGCACGGTGGCCAAGACCATACAGTGGTTTAACAGGACAGGTTCCACTCAGAACAGGCCTCACCATGGTCAACCAAAGAGGTTGCATGCACATGCTCAGCGTCCTATCCAGAGGTTGTCTTTGGGAAATAGACGTATGAGCGCTGCCAGTATTGCTGCAGAGGTTGAAGGGGTGGGGCAGCCTGTCAGTGCTCAGACCATACACTGCATCAAATTGGTCTACATGGCTGTCTCCCAAGAAAGCCTGCTAACAGTTTGCTGTAGACAAGTAGACTAAGGACATGGATTACTGGAACCATGTACTGTGGTCTGATGAGATCAAGATAAACTTCTTTGGTTCAGATGGTGTCAAGCGTGTGTGGTGACAACCAGGTGAGGAGTACAAAGACAAGTGTATCTTGCCTACAGTCAAGCATGGTGGTAGGAGTGTCATACTCTGGGGCTGCATGAGTGCTGCCGGCACTAGGGAGCTACAGTTCATTGAGGGAACCATGAATGCCAACATGTACTGTGACATACTGAAGCAGAGCACGATAAGAACCTGAGGGTAAAGGGGATGGACTGGCCAAGCATGTCTACAGACCTAAACCCTATTGAGAACATGTGGGGCATCCTCAAACAGAATGTGGAGGAGCGCAAGGTCTCTAACATCCACCAGCTCTGTGATGTCGTCATGGAGGAGTGGAAGAAGACTCCAGTGGCAACCTGTGAAGCTCTGGTGAACACCAGAGGGTTAAGGCAGTGCTGAAAAATAATGGTGGCCACACATAATATTGACACTTTGGGCCCAATGTGGACATTTTCACTTAGGGGTGTACTCACTTTTGTTGTCAGCGGTTTAGACATTAATGGCTGTGTGTTGAGTTAATTTGAGGGGAAAGCAAATTTAATTTACACTGTTATACAAGCTGTACACTCACTACTTTACATTGTAGCAAAGTGTGAAAATGTGTGGGGGTGTACTCATTTCTGTGAGATACTGTATGAGATATATATATATATACACACATACATACACACACATATATATATATATACACATACATACACACACACACACACACACACACATTGACTGCTCAAAAAAATTAAAGGAACACTTTGAAAATACATCAGATCTCAATGGGAAAAATATCACGCTGGATATCTATACTGATATGGACTGGATAATGCGTTAGGAACGTGAGGATGTCCCATCTTTGATGGAAATGAAAATTATCAACCTTCAGAGGACTGAATTCAAAGACACCACGAAAATCAAAGTGAAAAAATTATGCAGCAGGCTAGTCCATTTTGCTGAAATTTCATTGCAGCAACTCAAAATGGTACACAGTAGTTTGTATGGCCCCCACGTGCTTGTATGCATGCTTGACAAGATCAGCGTATGCTCCTAATGAGACAATGGATGGTGTCCTGGGGTATTTCCTCCCAGATCTGGACAAGGGCATCACTGAGCTCCTGGACAGTCTGAAGTGCAACCTGGCAGCGTCAGATGGACCAAAACATGGATTTAGGTCAGGCGAGTGTGGGGGCCATTCAATGATATCACTTCCTTCATCCTTCAGGAACTGCCTGCATATTCTCGCCACATGAGGCCGGGCATTGTTGTGCACCAGGAGGAACCCGGGACCCACTGCAGCAGTGACAATAGGTCCAATGATTTCATCCCGATACCTAATGACAGTCAGGATGCCATTGTCTAGCTTGTAGAGGTCTGTGCATCCCTTCATGGATATGCCTCCCCAGGCCATAACTGACCCACCACCAAAACGGTCATGCTGAACGATATTACAAGCAGCATAATGTTCTCCATGGCTTCTCCAGACCCTTTCACATCTGTCACGTGTGCTCTTGGTGAAACCTGCTCTCAGCTGTGAAAAACACAGGGCACCAGTGGCAGACCTGCCAATTCTGGTGTTCAATGGTAAATGGCAATCAAGCTCTATGGTGCTGGGCAGTGAGCACAAGGCCCACAAGAGGACATTGGGCCCTCAAGGCCACCCTCATGAAGTCTGTTTCTGATTGTTTGGTCAGAGACATTCACATCAGTGGCCTGCTGGAGGTAATTTTGTAGGGCTCTGGCAGTGCTCATCCTCTTCCTCCTTGCACAAAGAAGCAGATATCCAATACGGCAAGCAGATGTTCTGACAGGTCTGCAGGAGACCTACATGGCATCAGCGATCTACTGAACGCTGGAGCAATGCTTTCCAGGCTGCTGTAGACGAAAATAATAAATGCACATTTTTTTTACCTGGAAAAAAATGTGCATTTATTTTTTTGTCTAAAAGGTAAGGGCCAGTTGTTTGGTCAGAGACATTCAAACCAGTAGCCTAATCAAAATCAATAAAGGTGCAGCGCTAAAACCTAAAAATGGATCTTTTGGATGGATCTTCACGATTAGCACTTTATGGACATTCCCATGATTATGCATTTGAATTTAGACATTCAGCACTACCAAGTGCTCACGATTGTCATCTTATTAGCACCTTGATGTGTATATTATTTATTAGTATTATATTTGCACTTTGTCACTTTATTTACCACTTATATGTGATTTGTGCATTCATACGGTTATATACATGATTGCATCCTATTGATCCATTTTTAGGTTTTAGCACTGCACCTTTATTGATTTTGATTACCTTGGAGGTTGTTTTGGTTGCCTTTTCGGTGCATTGGCTGCCTTCGGTTTTTAGTGCTCCCTTATTCTGTTTTATATTTATAGTTCTGTAAACCAGTAGCCTGCTGGAGGTCAGCAAACCTTCTGGCAATGGCACATATTGATGTGCCATCCTTGAGGAGTTGGACTGCCTGTGCAACCTCTGTAGGGTCCAGGTATCGCCTCATGCTACAGTAGCGACACTGACCCTAGCCAAATGCAAAACTATTGAAAAACAGAAAAGATGTGTAGGGAAAAAATGTCAGTGGCCTCCACCATGTAAAACCATTCCTGTTTTGGGTGTAGTCTCATTGTTGCCCATCTAGTGCACCGGTTGTTAATTTCATTAACACCAAATCAGCTGAAACTAATTAGCAACGTGTGTGTGTTTCCTGGCCACTCTGCATTGCTGATTATTTTGGGTGTTCACACCTTTAATATATAATTGTTTTTCACTTGATTACTTTATATTTTGTCTCACTCATAGGAGAATTGATGATGTGTTTTGAGGGCAAAGGGTACTCACACCAAATATTGCTTAATTTGAATTTCTCTCCTGTTCCTTAACTTTCCATTGCAACGTCATACAGTTTTCAAGCCAACAGTTCCAAAACATTTCTCTGGGTCTCATCACCCCAGAGTACAGAGTCGCAGTAGTCTTCTTTTTCAACATGGGCCCTGGCAAATTCTGGGAGGGCTTTTTTTTGTGCATGGGCTTTAGGGGAGGCTTCCTTCGCACACAACACCCATGCATGCCTTTCCTCTGCAGTGTACACCGTATTGTGTCACAGGAAACAATCACCCCCAGTTTGGCATTTCTGCTGCTTTAGCTAACTGCAGTCAACTTGCATTTTTTTTTTTTTACCCCTCTCATCAGAAGACACTGCCGAGGTGTTAACCTCCATGGATGGCCTGGACATCTCTGTGAGATGGTTGCAGTTCCATTTTTGTTAAATGTTTTCATCATTTTTGCAACAGTATTCTGACTGATAAGTAAAGCTTTGCTGATCTTCTTGTAGCCTTTACCTTTCTTATGTAAAGAAATGATTTTCTTTCTCAGGCCTTGTAACATTTCTCTTCCATGTGGTGCCATTGCTGACAGAATTAAATGGAAAGGGCTTTTCTTTGTTAAGTAATATCCTTTTATAAGCAACTGTCTACTGGACACCTGTTTAATGAATTATTAAAAACGCACCTGTAGTTGAATTCTTGTTAATTTGGATTTTGTGGTCTAAAATTTAGCTTTGCTTCTAAGACTTTCAATAGGGTGTATTCATTTTTGCAACATGGTCTTGAATTAATTTGTTAGGCAAAGTACTTTTTTGGTGTGTACAAATTAACAAATCTTGAAAATACTAAAGATATAAATAGCACTTCTGCTCTGCCACTAAACCAAACTGATATTAGATGAGCTGCTAGCAGTTACTGTTGTGTGATCCCACACATCAGTAATAAATCAATTCTATATCTATAAGTGCCCTGTTGCTCACTTGAAATGTAACTCTATACCCAATAGTATATACAGTTGTGTTCAAAATAATAGTGTGTTGAAAATAGTGAATAAAGCTCAATATACTTCTAAAAGCGTTTATTTCCATACACACAAATGCATTGGGAACACTACACATTCTATTCCAAATCAAAACATGAAAAAAATATATCAAAATTTGTGTTGTTCCTCTAAACAAATTGAAGAAAAGTGAATATTAGACTGTTCAAAAAAATAGCAGTGTTTGTATTCCTCTTTACAAACGCAGACATTCACTATATAAACTGAAAAACGTTTGAAGATTTTGCTTTCCTTTGAATCACTTAATATTTAGTTGTATAAGCACTGTTTCTGAGAACTGCTGTACATCTGTGTTGCATGGAGTCAACCAACTTCTGGCACCTGTGAACAGGTATTCCAGCCCAGGATTATTGGACTACACATTCCACAGTTCTTCTCTATTTCTTGGTTTTTGCCTCAGGAACTGCATTTTTGATGTCACCCCACAAGTTTTCTATTGGATTAAGATCCGGGGATTGGGCTGGCCACTCCATAACGTCAATCTTGTTGGTCTGGAACCAAGATATTGCACGTTTACTGGTGTTGTTGGGGTCGTCTTGTTGAAACACCCATTTCAAGGGCATTTCCTCTTCAGCATAAGGCAGCATGACCTCTTCAAATATTCGGATGTATTAAAACTGATCCATGATCCCTGGTATGCGATAAATAGGCCCAACACCGTAGTATGAGAAACATCCCATATCATGATGCTTGCACAACCATGCTTCACTGTCTTCACAGTGTACTGTGGCTTGAATTCAGTGTTTGGGGGTCGTCTGACAAACTGTCTCCGCTCACAATCTTACTTTCATCAGTCCACAAAATGTTGCGCCATTTCTCTTTAGGCCAGTCAATGTGCTCTTTGGCAAATTGTAACCTCTTCAGCACGTGTTTTTTTTCAACAGTGGGACTTTGCGGGGGCTTCTTGCAGATAGCTTGGCTTCACATAGGCATCTTCTAATTGTAACAGTACTCACAGGGAACTTTACACCTTCTTTGATCTTCCTGGAGCGGATTGTTGGATAGAAGAATAGCCAAAATGGCAAGGACTCAGCCATTCGAATGGTAGTGTTTTGCTTTCTTCCACGCCATTTTTAAGCATTTGCGATCATTTTAGCTGAGCAGCCTATCATTTTCTGCACTTCTTTAAATGTTTTCCCCTCTCCAGAAGAAAAGCGTACCTTGATTAAAAAGTTATTTGAACAGTGTCTGGAACGACCCATTTTTCCCTCAGAATTAGGA